GGGAGGTTGATTTCATATCAGTAGTATTTGTGCTACTTGACGTCTGGTGGCTGCTGAGCAACCGCTGTATTTGCTGCGATCTCTACTCCCAGTAAGCGGCACAGTCTAAATCTCTGATGTGGCGCTTCTCTTTCCGAGAATATTAAAGTGAAATTATTGGCTTCTTTAACAACAATATAGGTATTTTCGCGTCTCAAAAATCCGCCAAACTCGAATAGGTCTGGATCTATGAAATCGGAGTTCAAGCAGCTCCCATACTGAACTATTGGCGCGAAGTCTGCGACGCCATCCGTGTAAACAAGAGAACAGTTGTTTTGGTTTCTAGTAGGATCTATTGCTGAGTGTAACAACGTTATAGGTATACTAGAATTTATAAAAAGAAGATGAAACACTTCAGAGACCTTCAGATAAACAAAACCTAAATAAAAATACAGGAAAACCCAATACGCAAAGAAATGATAAATTGAGCTCCTGCAGGGCCATAATGATCATTTCTTTATTTCGAAAATGAATTATATATATTACGAATTAAAATGTATATCCATCATATCGTAAATTTATTCTCGTATAAAAATGTAATTGACCTTCAAATGTGTCCGCTTTTACTGAAATGTAACTACAAAATCTCTGCCGTACAGCTCTTCAGGGTCTCTGGATCAATAATAAAGATCACATGGTGTTATGATGCCACAAAATATGAGAGGCAACGATCCTATTCCAAAGTAAATGAAATATGAATATTTATATTACATTTTAAGTTTATTTATCCATCCTAAAATTTATGCAAAAAATATTACACTTTTCTATATTTTAAATCTTACCAGTCACAGCTTTTAATTCTATATCTTCTACGTTAGTTTCTATGATTCCATGCGCAGAGCGATGAAAATGCCATCTCCGCACGCTATCATACGTTATCGAATGATGGCATTTTGCCTCAACCAAACGATGCGAAGGTAAGGCGTCCCGGAAATACGGTTGGATCGATATAAACAATGAAAACATAAAGTGTTTTCTATACATATAATGTTACACGTTGTTTTACCAAACGACCTCCCTGCCCTCTTCCTACAGACCAATTTTGATGACATTTCAAATCAAGATATTTGAAATATGGATTCATTGTTTTATTATGAAATAAACGAAAACATTTTATACAATTTTAATTTTTTTCAAGATGACATATTTATATCTTAATTACCATTCATTAGAATTAATATATTCATCGTTTTATAATTGTTTTTTGCAGAAACATCAGTCGTGTTGAGAGCCTAGAACACAAGGCCTCAGTCCGTCACTAATTACTGCGGCAGCTTACAGACGATTTCTGCTCATTTCCTATTATAGCCAACAAAAAAAAAATTCTAAGCTGCGAAACTTTCGCTTAATGAAGGGTCAATACATAAGCATTTCCAAGAATTTTACATAATGATATCCTTGTGAATGGGGTATTACCAAATTTATATACATAGATTTATGTAGTAGATGTAAGATTAAACTATGTTAAGATTGTAAGTATAGAATATAAGATTAGTTAGAACGCACCCCCTGAATATAATGTAACCTCTGCATCTTGCACCAGCCGTGGTTGAAAATATCTAGCTGAGAAAAAATTGTATTTGAAATGTCTGAAAGTGACCAACACTTAGTACTATTTATTAGTACTTGTTTATGTGCATCCATGTTTATTCTGTAGGAGGTATTAATCAGAATTCATTTCGTGATGTCAAAAGTAAAATTTCCAGTGTTCATAATTTTGGTTTTCTATAAAGCGGTAAGCTAATTTTAATTTAAGACAATGTGCATTATAATCATCTTAATTTTCGCGCAGTATAATTGATTTAAAGGAACAAAATCGATTGTAGTATTATCACCCATTGACATAGATTTACACCAACAACAACAGTTTTGGTGTTAATGTCTGCCTACAATTGAAGCTTAGCGGGACGGAATGTCCCAACGCAGGCGGATTTCCAAAAACAAGAAAATATCTATATGGAACTCTTTGAATGATGAGATCCGCGCAGCATGTAGTTTCCTCATAGAAATGGATGTCTTTGGTAAAAATCGATGTAAAAATCTTTCAACAATGAACAATTTACGCGATTATACTTCAGTCTCAACAGCAGCAACAGCAGATGAAAGAAATAATCAGTTGTAATAGGCGTCAGATCTCCATCACATGTTGCATTCACACAGTTTGCAAAAAAGGCAAAATACAATTATTGTCTAACAGAATTAACAAGAGTGTGCCAACTTTAATGTACCAAAAATCTTCCCTAAAATAATGACCTAGGGCTTTTTCTAAATCTATAATCGGGATACATGGCTATCATCAGGGACCTGCATCAACTGGATAATTTCTAACAAAGCCAAAGACATACCGATATCTGTTGAACGGGACGTATCTCACGTAGAGGCACTAAATGACTCAAACCTTTTCTGTTTCTGTTAGCTCTTGGGAGAAGAGTGATTTCCACTTGGTTTCCAAGAATTAAGTATTAAGCAAAAAGAATTGATACATTTATATCTGGAGTTGCGTGACAAAGGACTTTTGTGACGCGCTATAAGTCATTGGGTATAACCCAGATAATTTCTAATCAGGCCGACAACCGCCCTACGAACTGAAATTCCCGTCTTTCGCCACGCTTTACATCGAAATTAGTCAATTATCAATACAATACTTATTAATAAAATAAAGGTACGATGCAGCTCAATCTGCTAATCTATTGGGCCTCTCATTAATAGTTATTTATGTACCTAGTCCTCTAAGTGAGTAACTACCAGGCTAACAAATCAGAACGAAGACAACTAATGATGTTTTACAAAATATGGGGCATAACTGAAGATATTGTGATCGCGATTTAAACGAATGACAAGTCAAGGCATTGTAGTATTTTAGAATGCCAGAATTTAATTCAGTATACCTCAAGTTCACATTAGTATTTTAGTATGCCAGAAACACGTAAAAGTATACGATAAGATCGTTCACGTAAGGTTTATATTTTTGTTTATTTTCATTTTTTATTATTTTTTTAAAGTTGTATAGTGTGAAGTAATAGCGCAGCTGAGTAACTCCGTGGAAGTTTGAAAAATTGTTCTTGTTTTATAGATGTTATTTGACATATTTGACAGTTCTGAAAAATGCTACAGCATAGGTGCAGGAAAAATTGGATTTCATAAAGTAAATAACTACAGGTTTTATGAACCCTGTTGAAGAAAAAAAAGCGGACTGAAACATTGGGACTTAAGTTTTACAATAAGCAATTCGATAATGAGCGTATGCCCGTTCGTGACTTAGTGGTTGCTTTTTCGGACCAACATTCGACGCAAGTGAGGTGTATTCTCCGACTAAAAGAAATTAGTTTACCCGAGTTTACAGCTAGGTCATGATTACGCAATCGGGCGTTTCAATTTCAAAAAACCCCGATAAGGGAGTCTTGGTTACTGGTGAGACACAATTTTTCCCCGGATCCTTGCAGAATCTTCCAGAAGGGAGTGTCGACAAAAATGGTTCTGGGGGAGTTTCATCTTCCAAAAACTCGTTTCTTTGGGGAAGGGGGTGACATCTACAGAGGTGATACGCTATGAATTACTATACCGGATTGCTATGACTGAATGTTATGAAGTGATTCATCAGATTGACGATAATTAAACAAAATTATACAATGAATCATAAAAATGAAAAGAAAAACCATTCTATAGATACTTTTTATGTAACTTTCTGTGTCCGATGATGGAAGAATAATGCAACTTTATTGTGTTTTTTAGTATTTTTAATTTCATCTTGGATAACACAAATATATTTATTAAACATGAAAATATTCGCTTCTCTATCTACAAAATTGTAATAGGACACCAACACGCCAGAAATACAATTAATGAGTAAAATTGCAAAACACCCTCAATATTAATAACGTTGTACATTATAGTTTGACAAAAATATATACATTTAATTTAGATGACCGGTCAATCAATCAAACTGCTCGCCTTTCACTGATTGGACTGAGAGACCCATCGAACCATCGATTTCCGACGCCGTTCACTGATTGGATCCCTTGAACCATCGATTCCTGTCCGATCCTAATCACATTTGAGGTAGTCAAAGAGAATTTGCGTTAAATTTTCCCGTGGTCTGACATTTGCCTCTCCCTTTCATTACACTATTGCTCTTTCACCATTTAATTATCCCCCCCCCTATTCATCATTACCTGCGCCCCTTCTAAGAAAACGTCCGAAAGGTGACACGCGTAGAGGGAAAGAATATGTAAGAAGGAGAAAATGGAGAGAATAAAGATATAGTTGAAATGTAAAGTGATATAAGATGTAAAGAGATATCTGAAGTGAAAATGATGTAAACATAGATGAGATGTAACGATGTAAAAATGAGTAACGTAAATATGAAGTCATTTGCAAGATAATTAAGATTACATCCGGGCAATATTCGTGATTTGTGGTGAAGTGGTATTATATCTGGCTAAGCTATAAAAGAAACACGGGGGCACTCATCAGATACAGTTCTCGATTAACACAATAACGAGGAATTAAACGGAAATATGAAGCTCTTCTCGCTTGAGATTTTTTTGGTGTGGATTACCATACATTGAGAATTTTTAGTTCTTTTTCTACCCTCCCTCGAATCCACGGTCTTCTGGACCATCGCTATAGCACTACTGCCCTAACGATCGCGGCCATCTGGCCGGCTTTGAGTATTTTATTAATTTAGCAAAATTATTTCATATGTACGTTCACTTTTCTGTATATATTTTATTAAAGCTTTTTAAACTACGTCACTTTTTCTTTATGCCCAATCCCTTTTCTTTTTATTCCATACTTCCCAAAATCATATTCGTCAGCTGTCAGCGGCCCGCACTGTCCGTCGAACGGGCTCCTGGATCTTCGTGCATCATCGGCTGTCGTCGTTCAACCTCGGCCCAGCAGCACCGGCGCGTCAGGAAGGTGTTTTTAAACGAGCTGCGAAGCCGACCCTGCTCATACGGCTCAGCGGTGCCTCAGCGCGAGGAATTTGCTGAGCACTAGACCGACTCCGGAGGCTCCTCGTTTCGTCATGCTGTGCAGCAGAACGTCCACCATGCAGACGCTGTCCGCTCTTCTGCTGTTTGTCAGTGTGACCTCAGCGTTCGCTTTCCCGTCGCACGGTAAGCCACCGCGCGGCGCCAGCGATGCACTGGCCGGGTCACGTTGCTCGCATGGCGATGTGTGACCAGGTTGAGCGGAATAGTGTTGACGATGTGAGTGACAGATATGTTAGGGCCTGTTTGTTTTGTACAATTGTTATGGATTTTTTTGTCATAGGAATTAACTTTCTAGCGCAAATAGCTACAAAAAATGTATTATTAATCAGTCGTGAATCGGATCCCGAGATGTCGTCAGCTATTCACATCCCAAGGAAACAGATACTGCTTTAGAGCGCACTACTTAATTATTGCTTTCTTGACAGGTCTATGGTATTTGTCAGGATCTAATCTTGTAACTTATTCGTTTAATTCTTCTAAAATCTCGTTTTTCATATTTTAACTTTTATGTTAACTTTCAATAAAATCATTTAATTAAACTTTCACAAACTTTATAATTCTATGCATTTTTAACGGCATCAAATATTTATTACTTTTAAGCATAAACAACTAACAATAATACCAACGGTCCGTTAAACTTTTTCGCAAGGAAAAAATACGAATATTCAATTACCACTCAAACTTCTGCAGTTCTTTTCTAGAATATTTTGCTTAGATTTTTATGATTGACTATTTTTTAGCGTTATTCAGCTGTCGTGATTTTTTTCAAAATCATTTTAGACTTAAAATATACACTAAGGGAGGGGAAATGCATTTGAAATTAAATCGTTCCCTTGATTGTCTAAACATCTCAGGCATCCACTTTTGGTTTACGCGGCTGGCAACGGTGGACCAATAGAATATTTTGTTTTCGATGAGGATATTTTTCCTGTATATATTTTATCTGTTTTATTAGAGAAACATATTTTGTAGGACAGTGGTAATCCTCAGGATATTTTAAGACAATCAAGCCAGACGTATATTTTAAAGCGGAATTCTTTTTATTATTATTAATACACTGCAAAACCACGTTTCGTCACAATGTGTAGTTTTTTGGTATATTCATAATAAAAATAATTATGTTTTAAAATATACGAGTGGTTTGATTTTCTTTAAATATCCCGAGTATACCACTTTTCTACAAAAATATATCATATAGATAATTGATTGGTTCTAATTAGTGTAGCATACTACACTAATTCGATACTGTTCAGCATCACACAGTTCAGCGTTCTTCGCAATTTCGCAGCAAGCGATCAGAAGTTTTGTGTACACGAATGTGGGCTATGTGTTATTACAAATAGGTAGTTGTTCAATTTTTTTGATACGAGTCTCATCTTATAGGAAGTGTCTAATAATCCACTGCTCTCAAAAGATCATAACTTAAAATAATTAATGTTGCAAAAGCTAAAAGTAAAACAAAATAATAGGTACAACCAAGTGCTAGATCGTTTTTTGAAAAAATTAAACTCAATTTAATTTTCATAGATGGTAAGCATCAAGAAAAATTGAAGACTACGTATGTCTTGAGTTAAAAGGTCTTCGCCTGCCATTGTTGAGTTTTTCTCAATTAATTATTTTGATAGTAATGCTTTATAGTCCATGGTTTAAGTACTTTTGGTTTGAGTTAAAGTGCTATGCTTGTAACGCGCACCTTCAGAATGTTTGCAGTTTTGTCCCGTGTGCTTACCTTCGCTTTCCTCCCCCGGAAAAGGTCCCCCACGTGGGTACAATGGGGGCGCCTGCAGCAAAACCGCAAAACCTTCACGTATAATAGAAAAGAAAGGGCGATTGAATCATATAATTTGTAAAGTCATTTATCACATTTAAACCATTTGTTTATCGTGTTTATTACCAATGTATATTTCATTTTGAAGGATAATATTAATAAATTAATAAAAGTAATAGGCTTGCATCATCTCAATCAAAATAAAAATATAACAAGCAAACATTAGTTGAAAATAATGAATAATTAGACTGCCCCATACATTTCTAAGACATGGTGACATTCTTTTCCTCCACAATTAAAGATTCGCAACCAGTTGTGGTTTCCGGATCAGTATTGTTTTATAATACTAATAAAAAGTTGTTTGTCGCGTTAACTGAGTTTGTTTCATGGAGGATGCAACGTACTCAAAGGTACCTTGTGAGCCTGGTTTGCGAGTCGTGCACTGATTGAGTTGTTTTCGAAACGAGAGATTCCTTCGAATATTTGCATATTGTGCTTTTTGCATATTGTTTTTTAGTAAAAGAAGTGAAAAGGAAATTTATAAAAAACACAATTAGGTAAGGTAGTCTGTATTTCTACTTATATCTCCTCTCATTTATGAACAAAAATACGTATGTCTTTAAGTAAAGATAATATTTTGAAAATGCAGTGATTACTAGACGTACCTTACAATAGGTACTCTGATTTTGATATCGAATTCGGTGATTATGGGCTTTTGTTCTCCATTCTGGCTAATAAAGACGCATTCTTTACTACGAAAGAGTGAATCCTTCAACTCTTTCTTCAGGTCTCTGTAATTATTTATTATTAGTGTGGTTGATCGTATTTTCTTACTCGTAAGAGTAATACGATCTTTAGTCGTTTTTAGAAGGTACTGCACGCATTTTCATGACTCCAGCAATGTTATTCCGCCTGTGCTTACAACCGTCTTTTGTGTTTCTGTTCTGTGAAAAGAACTTAACTTTTTGCTTAGAGTAACTTCACCGGTGATGGGATCTCGAGTTGATAAATTGCCAAAGGAGAATTATTGAAAGCATTTATCTCAAAACTCATCTGCAATTAAAGTTAGGCCAATACGTGTTCAGGAGAAAAAACATTGCCCGCAGAATCAAAGGAACAGTAAGGGGAAAGGTCGAGAAGTCACTTGCGCTCTCTCGTTTTTCAACTCCTTTAATTCCACGTGCTTTGACAGGTGTTCGAATAGCGACTGTCATGCTGGAAGACTCAAAAGCAGCAAGACTACTGTAAATGCAGACTTGACATATAGTGTTCAGCGAAATATAATGTTCAAAATTGGCTGAGAATGGGAGCGATCTATTTTTTGGTTTGTTCATATTTCTATCATAATTTGAGTTGTATAACAACATAATTCTAATCTGAAAAAAACTGTACAAAGATTGTCATTAACAAAAGTTAGTTGTATAGACAAAGTCTGTGACAAAAACCAACAACAACGATAAAATAATGTGCGTGTAAAAGGAGCTATTTTTGTTTTCTCTGACGTAAAACAGGATGAAATCATTAAAAAAACTGGGCATTTCGATTACGAGTGATTAAAAAAAACCGTTTAAGTTGTGTTTTGTTTTACAAAAAAGGCAATGCTGACCATTGTGACTCATTTGGACACTTGGGGGAAACCACACTAGTGGAATGAGGCGACCTCCCGAGTAGGAGTATTTTGTTTTCTTGATTGCTCCCATGTGCCGCCCGCCTCTTTGCCTTGTTTGCTGGGAGGTACCCCGCGGTACAAACTGAACTGGAAGGCCCTGGGTGAATCCCCTGCATTTCCGGAACCTACCTCCGTTACCGCGTCCGCCTTCGCCACCTCCACCGCCATCGCCTCTGCCACTGCCACCGTATCCTCCTCCTCCTCTTCTTCATCCTCCTTCTACACCTCCACCTCTCCCGCCTCCGCCCTCGCCTCGGCCTGCGCCTCTTTCTCCTCCCCCCGCCTCCGCCTGCGCCTCCGGAATCGTCCTCGCCCCACCTCTGCCTTTACATGAGCCGCCGATCAGAATCCTCCTCCTCCCCCTCCCCCTCTCACTGCCCCTCCGCCATCGCCTCCGCCTGCGCCTCCTCGCATGCATCTGCCCCTGCGCCTCCTCCTCCTCCCCTCCCCACGTGCGCCTCTGTTTCCACCACCGCTACAGTCCCGCCATCAAACTCACGTCCACCATCCTCTACCACGACTACGGCGCCGCCTCCGTCCCCGCCTCCACTGCCGTCTCCATCGCCGCCCGCCTCAGCCTTCGCGGAAGCGCCTTGATCTTCTTCCTCCCCGCCTTGGCGTGGCGGCCGCCCGGAGCCGGATCCTGCCAGGGCGCCTCCCCCTCCCCCGCGCCCCACGCGCGCTCGGCGCTCACTCGCGTGTTTACGTAACGCGCAGAGGTCCGGCGCGGCTGGCGGCGCGAAGGAGAGGCGGGCGGCCGTCACGCGAAGACGCCCCCCTCCGCGTCGCGCCCGCTGCCAGCTGGCCCTCCCCGCGTCCCTTCCATTGTTTTATCCAGCTCAGCCTCCTCCTTGGGGTGACCGGAAAAGGGGGCTCAGGGCGTCAACCGATGCCACTGCAGGCGCTCTGACAGGGAGGTCCTTGAGTTCGAGTACTGACGGCGGCTGGATTTTCCACGCTGTCTATTTAGCTAGGTCAAATTCTGGAGGACAATTCTAGCGGTCGGCCGCTCTGATTGGTGTTTTTTCGTGGATTCTACTATTAATACCAGGTGAATGCCGGAGCATTCACCTGGTATTAATTCGCCTAACAAACGGAACGGGAACCGCGCGCGATATTTCCTTCCTTTTCTTTGTCTAATCCACACCCATTACTTGTACACACTTCTACACTTCACATGCACTACACTATCACCCTTGTCGGGAGGCCGGTCGGGAGCTTACAACTTGTCCAGCCGGGGGCGATGCCCCGCCGGTGAGAGATACCTGGTTGGGGAAAATTCCCTTAAGCCGACGTCTCGGAGTCAGTTCTTGCCATCCAGCGTGGGAAGATAACCGCCTCCTACTGCGATAAAACATACACTACACGTACGGGACGAATCATCTGGGCGGTTGACGCGCCCGCAATCACTATTTATTCATTCAATTTAGGCACCTCAATAACGGGCGGATGGAAGAATGTGCAAGCAGAACTTCAAGAGATTAGAAGCATTTTTTTTCTATTTCAGCTGAAGTGAGATCGAGATGTTTTAATTTTTGCGGGTATTTTACACGAAGCACCTCTGATATTTTTCAAAAATGTATGTGTAGTTGCTCGAAAAGAAGTATTGATAAATTTGGAATATTTCCGATTTTTATAAAAATGACTGAAATGTTCAAAATTTCAAAGTCTTATATTTATTCTCCG